CCTTATATAAATGAACTATTCCGCGTTTTGACCACGTAAAAAGAACAGATACTACACTTTGATCTAAGCCAAAACGCCAAGTGCGAGGTATTCACTTGCGCCCCGGGTTTAGGATGCGACATAAGGTCAGTTATTTAACATGGGGAACCCGAGCGTTTCCACTTGGGCCATAGTCAAAATTTACCCAAACCCCGCTTACGTGGGTTCGGGCACAAAGCTTGTCTTAGCTGGTCATTGAAGCCCAGACCAAAAGGGCGATTGCGACCGCGATAAAATCGCCATTTTTCAGACGCACTGTAAGGCAATCGCCAAAAATTCAGTTTCCATAAATTAAATAAAATAACACCGTCTGCTGGATTATTTTTAAATTGTTATTAAGAGAAGTGTTCATAAGACGGGGATTTAGCTACAAGGAAATAAGAAATAACGACTCCTGTTAATAGCTCATAATTAATGGTCAATTCTGTTTTGATCGTCGTGTAGAACGATGGGAAATGATACTACTTGATTTCAGTGAGAAAATAAAAGAAAGAAAAATAAAGAAGGAAAAATCGAAGTATTTAACGGCTGTTTCAATGAAATGGAAAACGTTGTCAATTTCAAATGTTTTCATTTCTATCCACTTCTTAAAATGAGTGTTATTGCAATATATTATTAAAATTGTTAAGCTCAAATATTTAACGATGCCAGAGGGGAATTTATACGAATATTTTATTGTCGCCATGAGCTTATTCAATCTTTAATTTATTATTATTGTCATTATTATTATTATTATTATTATTATTATTATTATTATTATTATTATTATTCCCTTTCATCTCAGCTTCAAAGATGATCAGCTGAAAATCAACTTGCTACCCGCAATATTTTATGTCTCAGAAACATCGCTGTTCCGAGAAGACAGACTTTTCATAGAGTTCTGAAATAGTTGTTTCAGCTAATTTTATGAAACCAATTATGAAATTTCATCAGCTGAATTCCTCTTCATTTAACAAATTTAAAAGTGCTATATACTATGTATATAACACGTTCATTTACTTACAGTTGGTCCAGGAGATCCAGCTCTTCCTCTCTCTCCTGGGGCACCACGGTTTCCAGGTTGACCAGATGTTCCAATGGGTCCCATATCACCCATTGCTCCCTAAGTTAGAGCAAAAACAAAAACAAATAAGTAATTGCCAAATATGCAAAAAGTGATAATCATATAATAATAAATGTCTGTACATTTTCAATAGAAAACTCTTGACTATGCAATAACGAGACAAAGTGGTTATTATCTTAACACTGGTTACTTACCAATCAACGCTGGACACAGAAATATTTTTCTAACCAATTATAGACTTCTCTGAGATTCTCTTTACTAATAAAAAAAAAACAGCCCTAAATTCCAGTCATCAATTCGTTCCTTAAACTGCTTACAATCGCGCATTTTGGCAATCGTTTCTCACTTGACTTGTAGATGTTTTTATCAGACTTTTATGCTCACTCTTACATCCTTTTAATCGATCAAGTAAAGCGCGTCTGATACGTAATTCCTTATTTAAAGCTTTTATCAACGCCAAATTACTGTAATTCTCAAATTACGAATAATCAAAATAAAACCGCTTAATTTATTAAATTTACATTAGCTCTGGGAGAGAGTTCGATAGCAGTTGTAAAAAATGTAGTTTGAAACTGGAATCGTTTGTGAATGACACACAATGAACTGGAGATACGTTTAAAATAATCGAATGCTATTCGTTGTTTTATGCAACAAACGAATACGTGACTGCAAGTGTATAAAGCAACTTATGCAACCAGGATTGCTTCTATATGAGATAGGAAAACAACAATAATAACATCGCTCTATATTGATTTTTCTTACCTTGGGTCCATCAAGACCAGGTTGTCCAGGCTTGCCAGAGAAACCAGAAAATCCCTGTAAAATTCAGAAAAAAAGAAAACGGATTAATTTTGTTGAACTAACTACAAGATAGAAATTAGAAAATTGATGGATTGGTATGTGAATGACCCGAACCTCTAAGCCACAGAAACACGCAGCGTTGCGCATGCGCACTGGAGCGTCGTTGATTGATCAATACACTGGATATAATGTTTCATTACGAAGACTTAATGACATGAACTGACCTGCAGGCATATATGAGCCTCGCTTTTAATTACAGTTAATATCACTATGACGTTAGTCTAGTTACAGACATTGGGAGTCTGCGGTATCTGAGTAACAATCAAAGGGCAATCTTTATTTTTCGTGGCTGCAGTAAAACGGTGTATCAAAAAGACGTTTCCTCCCACCATGGAACAGCTATTATTTTAACTTTCTTCACTCCCTCGGCAATGTTTGTTTGCTTTTAAAAAGCGATAATTAGAAATTTAATAAAACCCAAACATATAAGGGTGAATTTAATACATTTTCTTTGATAATTTCCAAAAAAAATTAAGCCGTATTTATTCATTAACCTAACTTATATTGCATTTTTGCATATAAAATCCGACAGATACATTTTAGCTTTTTTTTGGAGGTGGGGCGTTAAACTGTAATCTGCAATTAAGTGCTGCATAATTGATTTTGGAGACGTTCTGAGAAAGGAAAACTTTCTAAAATTATTATATTTTCCATAACTAGACACTTTTAAGAGAAACATACGTACTCTGTGTCCCTTGGGTCCGGGTAATCCAGGGATTCCAGGTGGACCACGTGGTCCCTACAAAAGAAAAATAAATAAATAAACAGATTCTATTTAGAAAAAAATATATTTCTTTTAGTATTAATCCATTATTTAAATCTATTAACTCGTTACGTAAATGTATATTCTATAAAGAATACAATAGAATTTTACAATGTAATCTACGCAGAACTCAGAGTAAGGATAAGATAAGTGAATAATTAATTTTATTTTTTTACTAAAGGATACAGCTTGCAATTAGATAGATAGATACAACTCCATAATAATTACGCCAAAGTGAAGGATAGAGAACGTATTTAAAGTAAAAGCATATTAGATAGATAGATAGATAGATAGGAATACATTAGAATAGACTGAAATGGATCTTGAATAGACTGAAATAGATAGATAGATAGATAGATAGATAGATAGAAAGAAAGAAAGAAAGAAAGAAAGAAAGAAAGAAAGAAAGAAAGAAAGAAAGAGATTCAGGTTAGATAGATAGATAGATAGATAGATAGATAGATAGATAGATAGATAGATAGATAGAAAGAAACAGATTCAGGTTAGATAGATAGATATATAGATAGATAAAGAAAGATTCAGGTTAGATAGATAGATATATAGATAGATAGAAAGAAACAGATTCAAGAATAGATAGATAGATAGATAGATAGATAGAAAGAAACAGATTCAGGTTAGATAGATAGATATATAGATAGATAGAAAGAAACAGATTCAGGTTAGATAGATAGATAGATATATAGATAGATAGAAAGAAACAGATTCAGGTTAGATAGATAGATAGATATATAGATAGATAGAAAGAAACAGATTCAGGTTAGATAGATAGATAGATAGATAGATAGATAGATAGATAGATAGATAGATAGATATATAGATAGATAGAAAGAAACAGATTCAGGTTAGTTAGATAGATAGATAGATAGATAGATAGATAGATAGATAGATAGATAGATAGATAGATAGATAGATAGAAACAGATTCAGGTTAGATAGATAGATAGATAGATAGATAGATAGATAGATAGATAGATAGATAGATAGAAAGAAACAGATTCAGGTTAGATAGATAGATAGATAGATAGATAGATAGATAGATAGATAGATAGATAGATAGATAGATAGATAGATAGATAGATAGATAGATAGATAGATAGATAGATAGAAAGAGATTCAGGTTAGATAGATAGATAGATAGATAGATAGATAGATAGATAGATAGATAGATAGATAGATAGAAAGAAACAGATTCAGGTTAGATAGATAGATAGATAGATAGATAGATAGATAGATAGATAGATAGATATAGATTCAGGTTAGATAGATAGATAGATATATAGATAGATAGAAAGAAACAGATTCAGGTTAGATAGATAGATATATAGATAGATAGAAAGAAACAGATTCAGGTTAGATAGATAGATAGATATATAGATAGATAGAAAGAAACAGATTCAGGTTAGATAGATAGATATATAGATAGATAGAAAGAAACAGATTCAGGTTAGATAGATAGATAGATAGATAGATAGATAGATAGATAGATAGATAGATAGATAGATAGATAAACTATATTACTAAATAGATTAGTCTTATGAAGAAAAGGAACACAACTATTGAAACGGAATACTCACTACTTAAATATTCTATGAAAAAATCAAAGAGATAGATTCATATGATATTTAGTAAATATAATTTTTTTTAAAAATAAATAAATACAATAACTTACGGGAAGTCCTGGCATTCCACGAGAACCGGAGTTTCCATCTCGTCCATGTTCACCCTAAAATGATAAATACCAAAATTTGATGTAAAATCAAAGAAATGGTTTAAATTAAAATTGATTTGAAAATAGAACATTCAATAATATTTTTTGTTATATGAATTCATGCTAAAGAAATCCCTTATACTTACATCAGGTCCTTTCAAACCAGGTGGTCCTGCTGACCCACGAATACCAGGTTGTCCCTAAAATTGTGTATGGTAAATAATATTAGTACGAATTGATACAAGCACAGATGAATTGAGATAGATAGATAGATAGATAGGAATAGACTGAAAGAACGAAAGAAAGAAAGAAAAAAAGAAAGAAATAGACTGAAATAGATAGATAGATAGATAGATAGATAGATAGATAGATAGATAGATAGATAGACTTACCGGGGGTCCAGGCTCTCCGGGCTCTCCAGAAATTCCTCTCATACCTTGAGGTCCCTAGCAAAATAAATAAACAGCTTAAGATAATTGCTAAAAAAATAAAAAATAAAATAAAAAATGAGAGATAATTAGAACAGGCGTCGGAATCTTTTGTCAAGATAAACTCAAATTAAACTCATGGATACCCGATTTTGTGATGAAACACCTGACAAAGAAGGCCCTTAGAAAAAAAAACTATTTCAGAAAATTCTAAATGTTTAGTAACTATCATTTTCTCTTCTATTATTTGCGTGTCTTTTTGTTTTTTGTTTTTTTGGTGGGTGTTTTTTTTTTAATCGATGGTCAGTTATACGTACAGCTCCAAGGGAGATAATCCTTTTAGAAAATAATTCTTTGTCAATCGATTCAGGTTAATAGTGAATTTCTATTTGTTGTCATGTGTTGCACTACAGCATTTTCGCTGGTATTCACAAATCGCTCGATACATCTTCCCAAAGTGACCTAGGTTACGACTGACTCTTGCTACTTCATATAAACTTTTATATTGCCCCCTTCTTCTGATATGTAAATACATCGCTTCATCTCCCAGAAAGTTAAGGGTATTGTAGACCTTATGTTTCGCCGATCGTCCGGTTCATACTCCTCACTGGTCTGATATTTTGAGCAAGAGTAGAGGTTTATCCCGTGTTTCCTGTTTATGATTGAGTTTCTGGTTCCTTCTTAGGTTTTCTCAGTCTCTTTCACTCCTTGTATCTCCTTGCGTCTTAGTGGCTTTATCGCCTTGCTTGAGGTAAATTGATTTTTTTTTAAATACTTTGTTTTGTTTTCGAGATTTCTTTGTCCTTTCCGCGTACGAGACCTTCGTGCTGTGTTTCTTTCTCATGAAAATCTCCATCGAATGTTGGGTATTCTTCTTCCATTGTTACGTCTTTGTCGGCCGTTTCGAAATCTCCTTGGCCCTGTTGACCATTCGCAACCATGTCTTCATTTGTTTCATTCTATAGGCCATGTTTCGTTGTTGGTCCACAAGATCGTAACTGGGTGTACCAATGAAAAGATTTTCGCCTTTTACTTCCACGTAATCTTATTTCACCTGCATAGGGTACTATGAAGTTTACAATTTTTCTATAATGATGGTGTAGTTGTCTCTTTGCATTACAAAATTAGTTCCTTCCGCATCTCTGTCGCTTCAAGTATCTTCTCCATCTGTTAAGAGAGTGTAAAGAATTCACTGCGATATAGGAGATTAGAAATTACTATTATATGTTCAGTACTTTTTACTGTGTTTAAATACCTACAAGACATATATCGCTATTCCAATGAGGTTTCGGATTTCTGTGCCACATTTCCATCATCCGATATTAGTCGACCCAGACAGTTAAAATTCTGTACCTGCTTGATTTTGATGTCCCCGATACTCATAATTTCGGATGCATCTTTTATTGACAATCATACATTCAGTCTTTTTAAAGTTGATATTCAGTCCTTTCTTCTTGCTTTCTTTCTGTCCTTGTCTCATCTAAGAGTTCTTTTAATTTTCCTTCTGGGTCTCCTATCAACATAATGTCATCCGCATATCTAGGTGGTTAATATTATGTACACCAGTATTAAATTCTAGTACGTCTTCTAATTCTGTTTATCCATATAGAAAATAAAATTTAATATATATTTTTTTATAATTTTAAAAATAAACATATTTAGAAGCACAGTGTAGCAGTGGATAATGGCTCAGATTGAGAAATCGGAGAGCCGAGTTCAAATACCCTTGGGAAAGGTATGAATCCATCTGTTTTCCTCTAAGCTATGGGTAAATAGCAGGACAAATTCACTTCTAGAGCCTTGGTTGGCGACTAGTCTAGAAGAAGGAAAATTCTGGATTCAAACTAGCCTAGAGAGGGTTGGGCTCCGTCAGGCTATCTTGCCCAGGAAACACCACTGCTATTACGGCGGCAGTACGTATGGTGCCCTTACGATCATAATGGGTTACGGAAGTTGTGATTGAACATTATATGGATTTCTAGGACAAGGGCCATAGTTTCAAATATGGTTGGAAATCTAGAGTTCCCTACGGTTTTATTTTAATGATTTTGTCGCTGTAGTTGTTGCTTTTTCTGATACTTACGGGAGGTCCTTGAGTACCAGGGGGTCCGCGAGCTCCAATAGCTCCCTAAAATAGAATAAAAAGAAGAAAGAAAACGTAAATTAACTGTTATCTTAGTGAAACACAAGCATTAGTAATACGCAACAGTAAACAATCTTTGATGTATCGGCAAAATGAAGTCTCTTTCGATGACGTAGTAGAAATAGAATTTTCTGTTATTTGAAACTTGCTAAATAAAGTGACATAATTTACGTCTTAAATTATTTTTTAGCTCTCATATTATCTTAAATATGCAGTTTAAAGTGTATTTTGAAAGAATTTTAAAGAAAACGATATTTGAATTGATTGCTAGTACTCACCACTTGGGCCTGGAGGTAATTAGGTCCATATGCGTAATTGTTACCACCAGCTTTGTCACCATATGCTTGAGCATAGTATTGTTGAAAGGCTGTATCGGCATTCTGGAAGAGGGACAGAAAAATAAAATGTTAAAAAGATGGCGAAGGAGCCGTCCGAAAAAAAAAATAAGAAAAGAAATCGTACCGATAATATTTCTATTGAAAGTTAGCGGGAAACGTTAGCGGGAAACGTCGGTGGGATCGGTGGGGTCGGTGGTATGTAAGAAATAAAATCTGAATAATTGTAGAGATAGTTATCGGATTGGAAATCTTTTTTATAAATTTAAATCAATATTTCGGTTCAACATGTGTGATTCAAATATAATCAGGAGACTTAAAAAAAATAATATGGCAATTAAACAGGTCCTAAAAAATTTCATGAAAACTGAACATATATATCAATCTGTTCAACTCCCACTCTTTGATGCATAATTCACAGCAATATCTATCTATCTATCTATCTATCTATCTATCTATCTATCTATCTATCTATCTATCTCAGTCTGTTCATAGCTTTATATATATATATATATATATATATATATATATATATATATATATATATATATATGATAAATGATATGCTATATTAAGGTATGCTATATTTATGGATTAAAGTGCCCAATATCAGGGATACAGCGTATGTAAATATAAAAGTGGACATTGAAGTCAATACCGAGTGGTGACAGTCCCGTGCTTATACGCCAAGACCTGACGATTGCATATAAGCATGAAACAGACTGTCGCCACTGGGTGATGACTGTCATTATATATATATATATATATATATATAGTTAAACCTAGAAAGCGGATCGTCATGGAATGCTGGTATTGGCTTGTTTATTTGAAAATCAATACAATGAAGGTTTTCCGAGCGAGTATAGTTTCTTATACTTATAAGATTTCTATTAATAATACATATATATATATATATATATATATATATATATATATATATATATATATATATAATATCTGTCTGTCTGTCTATTTCATCTGTCTCGGTCTATTCGTAGCTATCTATCTTAATATTTCCAAATCTAGCTGCCGAGCTGTGTAGATATATATTTGCCTCAATCGGTCCATTATCTATCGAGCTATTTTATTTTGTTCTTTACCTATGTTGTGGGGCTATTGTGGACTCTTCCACTTAATATTAAGTTAGTAGGAAAAGTAAGCCTCGGGGGCAATAATGATATAGACTGAACGTTGGTCAACCGACACACACTCCCAAGTCGTTGTATTTACTGTTCAATATACTATTTATCTGCAACCTCTTATTTTGTTATTTCTTAACCATTACTTGGTCACAACAATCTATCTGTATGTGTTTATCTTTCTGCTCGTATCAATCTATCTACTGTCTGTCTATCTCAATCTGTTCCTACCTACCTATCTCCTTTTGATCATTATCTATCCACCTCAGTCTGTTTCTATCTATCTATCTATCTATCTTCTTTTGTTCATAATTTATCTCTCTCAAGCTACTTCAATCAGTATCTTTGTTCTTGCTTATCTTAGCAAGACTTCAAAGGTGAAATGTGCCAGTCTCCAGTCACTGTTGATGTCCACAATGTTTATATTTCCACTCATTCACTATCCGATATTGAGCACACTTCCCTACCCTTCATAAATATAACACATTTTAAACAACATATAATTCCTCTACCTAAAATGATTCATTTCACCAGACGCCAAGATCAACAAAGAATTTGACAACAAACTGAGGAAAGCAAACTGTGAATTCTGCAGATTATATAAACTAGTCTGTGAGAACAAACGCCTGGAGACAAGATCACTATGTCCAGAGCTATTGTAATGACCATCTTCCTGTACGTTTTCGAGTCCTGGGTCACCTATCATCACCGCCTGCGACTCTTTGAGAGTTTCCACTAGCTCTGTTTTAGCAATATTTTCAACATTCTGGAAGTGACTTCATCGCCAACATTGAAGTCTGAGAATAGGCAGAGTTCACTGGCTTTGAGGATATGCTACTGAAATTATTATTCAGTAAAATCAATGGATGCCTACTATTTATATATAAAATTCTGCGATTGCCGTTTGTCCGTCAGCCACACCCTCTAAAACAGACATTGACCGATCGAAACCAAATTTGGGGGTTAAGTGCAGATATGTAAGGGGTTAGAGTTTTTACTAATACAGTTTGATTTACTCGTACATTTTGTTTTACTAGAGTGAGTAGCTTAGTACAATCAATTTTCGTTATTTTTTTTAAAATTAAAAGTGTTAAAATTTAACATACAAAATATCCCCACTATTTTAAAAACAATTTAATGATTAAAATAACAAATGCTTATTTAATAAATATTATTAATGCAATATTGTTTTTATGTATATATTTCATTCTGGTAAAATATAATGCACAGTAGTAGCCACTGTAAATATAAACACAGTAGGGAGAGTTTCGAATGGGCAGAGGAAGAGATAACTTCAACACTACTAAATACTGTGAGGATTTCAACGCGCGTCAGCCATTTGCAAAAAAATTCTAGCGCTTAAAATTTCTTGAAGCAAATTTAGAATTTTTTTTAAGCTTTTCATCCTAAGCCAGGTCGGGAGTGCCACTAGCACGCAAGGGGTTACAGAGAGTGGGAGCATGAGCAAAGAAGCGTGATAGAGGAAAGGATGAAGAGAAGG